TTTAAATCATTCATCATAATTATCTCTAAAAGATCATAACTTTAGCCATTTTTAAAAAGTTCACTATCTTGTATTTCAAAAATTTATAACTTGCATTTACTTCTTTCTTAAGTTTATTTAATCCATCCAATAATGATCTAAGATACAATTAATCATCTTCATACCATCAATTATAGTCTTGAAGGTCAAATGATAATCCTATTTTTTCTTCCTTATCATGACACATTATCATGCATGAAGATCTTAAGGCCAAAATTTTTCTCCATTAATTAATTTAAAATTACTCAAAATATTTATATTAATTAATTATACACTTGTGAATAATGTTGAAGCACTTTTTGCAAGATAAAATAATTTTAATCCTACATTTTCCAAGAATAATTACTTAATTTTATTAATATATCTAGTCTCTAAAAGTTCCAATTTATTTATGATCAAATTATTTTTAAATTTTTCAGATTAATTAAGCAAACTTTAATAGCTTAATCACTCATTAAAAATTTTAAATTTTTTATTTTTTTTCAAATCTAAACTTCCTCCAAAATACATTCCCTAAAGTAAAATCTCTATTTTTGTTAAGCTTTGACCTCTACTCTTAATGGAATTTTATTTATTTTTAATTTAGTGTTGGAACATCTTCCTAGTCAAATCCACTAATTGACCACAAAAAATCTTAAATTAATTAGATTGAATCTATCATCAAATCTTTCCAAACTTTGGCTCAAAATACATGGAAATTGCTTGGCCAAAATTGTTATGTGCTCAAATTTGTTTAATCCTCATGATCTTGACTCATTGGCTAATTCATTCACCTCTTGAATTGATGATGTGGAAATCAAATCAAATGGTTAAGATTTTATCATGCCTTGGATAAAATCCTCTTGCATGAATCCAAATCAAATGTCTTGCCAAATCAGCTCCCTTGACCAAAATTCACATGGTTTCTTTCATATTCTCTGTGACTTTGTGTATGTTGATCTAATGCATTCCAAAACTCATTATTAGTTCAAATTATTATCGAAATAATCTCCCTCCAATTCCCTATTGACATGGCCAAAATTCTCTCTATAAATAGAGGGATTGGCTATGTGTGTGTGCTTGCTCCTTACCACATTAAAACTCTGCCGAAATTTCATCTCACTTACTAAACCTTCTGCACCAACCTTCCTTAGCTGAGATTTTCATTAATTCTTATGCTAATAATCAACCAAAAGAGTCTCCCAATTAATCATCTTTATCTTTTGCTCAGAAGAGATCATCTTTGGTGAGTTTGTTCCAAGTGGTGAACTGTATTTTCAAATCTAGTTTGCAAGTTTTTTTTAAATAAAATTTTTTATTGTATCATTTTGTGATTGATTTCATATATAACAACTTGCACATATCCATATCATTTACATTAAAGCTTGTGATTGTGCTTAATTAAAATAAAATCCTTTGTGAGTTATTATATTTGTATTGTTTGTTGCTTTAGTGGGATAAGAGCTCAAATATTTTAAAATTGAGAGCTAGAGTTGGGTTGTAATTTATTTTCTTTTGTTTATGATCTTGTAATTATTTGACTGGGCGTGTACTTGCCTGGTGTAGGAAAGTACGGTATTTGGGGTTGTGGCACGGAAGTTGTTCTAAGCTTGAATTGCTTAATGAATTCCTAGCCGTGGCGGTGGCTAGGCATAGACGTAGGCCGATTTTTGGATTTTGGCTGACCGCATAAACAAGTTGTTTATATCCTTGATATTCTTTCTTGCACTTTACTTTATTGCTTGATTGTTTGCTCTAATAATAAAATAACTAATTAAAGTTTTACAAATAAGTTTCTATTAAAGCAAAATTTAAATTTAAAATTGAAAAATTTAAAATTAAAAATTAAAAAAAAAAAAAAAATTAAGCCCCCCAATTCCCCCCCCCCCCCCCCCCCAGCCTTTTAACAAGAAAGTTCTTGGATGAAGATCATGGGCTATATCGGTATGAAGGGTAAGTTCTCTTGAACTATAAGGTAGTGAACTTCATGTTTGGCTGAGTGTAAGGAAATGAGTTTATGACTTCCTTGGTGTATCCTTTCCCTATATTCGGGTTGACGAATTTCATGGGCAGCACACAATATGAGGTGATGATGAGTTTTTTTATGAGGGAGCGTCTCTTCCTAGATTGGCGAGTCCTCCAAGTTTGGAGGAATCCTGCTTGAACTTTAGGGGTTTTCTTAGAGACGACCTTCCTTAAGTTAGTTTTGCCAAGTTGGGTCAAATCCCTTAGCTGCCACATACTAGTGGTTGAGAGAGATTAGGGTTACAAACGAATTGAGTGTTTGATATGCAACTTGTGGCTCAACTCGGTTGTAACTTGTTTGTGATCGTTTGATTAAATAATCAAATAAGCACAAACATTTTTTAAATACTCAAACTTAAATAAACAAGTTTAAACAACTGTGTGTTTAGCTAGTTTATATTAATGAACAATAACGGTTGAAGCTTATGAACATGCTTGATGCTTAATGTTTAATACAAATTTGACTAATTCTCATTACAAAAATAATAAACAATCTAAAATAAATATTTTACATTTATTACAATTTAAAAATAAAGTAATTATTGATTAATAAATTATAAATTTAATTAAAAATTATAATATATATTATTTAAATTAAATCATAAATGTCTATCAATTGATATTATGTTATTATATGTAATTTAATTAAACCTATTTTTATTTTTTAATATTATATAATTATAAATTTATACTTGATTAATATTTATCAATTTCTAAACTTTAAAATTTTAATGAGATTTGATATCGGATGGTTGGGGATTAATCATTATCTATGATGCATAGACACAAATATGACGACATGAACATGACACAACACCTACACGAGACACATCAATTATTGAAAATTCAGAACACATACACGATATTATAATTTTTATATCTTAAAATAGTATATAGAAATTGAATAAGTAAAATATTAAGAATAATTAACAATAACAAATAGGATATGTGCTTAAAATGATTAATATTAGTGATGTCAATACTCGGACGTAAATATCATGTCAATCATCCAAAGGGGGATGGCAATACATTCGAGAGTCGGACATCGATTTTGTACAATGGGCATCAGGCATCGAGCATCGATGCCAAGACAGCATCAGCCCTCAAAGTTGAGACAACATATGTCATCGACGTTGAGATGATTTTGAAAAAAAAGATGAGATTTTGGGACGGCGCAATGGCATGATTGTGGGTGTAAAAATTGTTGACATCGTGCGCCAGTCAACACAACATCAAACTTGAATGTTGAGATGGTTTTAAAACATTCATGTTATGACAGTGTTGGACATATGGCATCGTGCATTGTTGTAAAACCTTAGTCATAATCTACTAGAGAGAAATGAAAATGGGAATGTTTGGGGAATGAGATATTGAGTATGAGCGATCGATTTTAAACTTTAGAGAGAAAATAAAAAACTTAAATTTTATTTTTTTAATAAATAAAAATTTGAAGTTCAAGAAATAATATATAAAATAATTCATAAAATATTTAAGACATGTGTCGAACATACGTGTCCAATTTATTTTTAATATTTTTTAATCTGACATGTCCTCGGCATATCTGACACGTGTCAAAAGCATGTCAGATAAGTGTCTTGTTTGATACATGTCAAACACTACAAAATTCTTTGAGGAGAAGAGTCGGTGCATCATATATCATTATTTTTTAAATTTTTTTATGATTGGCTAGCTCATAAATTATACATATTGAGTTCTAGATTAGTAGAAAATACATATGGTTTCAGATAATCTTTTATTGATCATTAAATGGAGTTTGTTTATGATCAAGATATACTTGTTCCTGTTGATAAATTGTATGATTTCAAGGTTCAATAAGAAGCTCATTCATTAAAAATATCATTTATGAGCTTGACAAGTTACACATTTATGAGCTAAAGAATGCTCGATAAGCTTTCTCATTTATAAGTGCAACACTTAATAAATATGTTCATTAATGGGCTCGATATAAGTGTTCATTAATAGTCTCAATAAGACTTGTTTGTTAAGCTAATGAACATCTCGATAAAGTTTGTTCGTTAATATCTTGGTAAGTCGCATTCGATAATAGCTCGATAAGGCTCATTCATTAATTTAAAAGAGTTGATCATTTAAAGCTCGATAAACATGAAACAAATCAAACTTATACATCTGTCATTTTAAAATAAGCCAGGCTTGAACACAAATAAAAAAGCTTGAATCGAGCTCGAACAAGCTATTAATAAATGAGTTCAAACACAAACAAGCTTCTATCAACTCGGCTCAATTCGTTTGCAGCCCTAAGAACGATCATCTTTGAGCAAGTCTTCACTGCCAGGTTCTATAAGATTTAGGTCCTTCGGTTGAAACCTATTAACTACGTGTGAGATACCTGAGAAGACATTTATGAGAATACATACATAATTCAGTATTTTTCTTTCTTTGTCTTAGTGTACAAACGAATCTCCTATAGACCAATTCAACCAAGGAGAATCAATAAGACTCAATATTCTTTATTTTCCCTTCTACTCTTAAGGTTCAATTCATATATCTATTACGGTCAAGGAGAACATTGGATCAAATGATATTCAAAATAATGTGTATCTACGTAAATATAATTAAAAAGAAAAGCATTAAGAAGTAAGCTACACCATTGGCAAGTAGACAAATGAATTTCCACTCGATATAAACTCAAGCTCAAAACATGGCATTTTTTAAGTTCACAAGGCAGTTTACAATTTTTTTAAAACAAGAGAGAGTCAATCAAATTATAAGTAAAAATTCAGGACCTATTGCTTCAAACTTTCATGTTAGAAGCGATGGATCATAGTACTCTACATCAGAATAAATAACTGAAATCTACCCCCATCATATCGGCAAACAGTCATCATTAGTGACCTTCGTTAAGTGATATATATATAACTTTCTTAAAATATAAATGTTGAAAAAGAAAAGGTTCTGAATAAAGGCTACGAACATACAGCACGAAAGATGAGCTCCTTCATTATGAGGCAATGCTCCATCCAGTATCGCTTCTGGTTCACAAACACTTGTAAAACCTGAAAATTTCACCTTTTTTCCCAGGCCTTCATCTGTTCAATAGAACATAAGATTGTAATTTGCTTTCGCTCTACAGTGGCTTTATGCAGAATAAAAGATCGACAAAGCCCCACAAACTCAAATAGCCAACACCTTGAAAGAAAAAAAAAATCATCACATATTTGTAGTTCATGCAATTTAATATAAGGAGATACCATCACTTCAGTAGTTCATCACAAATTCCGTTCCTTTTTTTGTCTATAATTACCTAGCGGTAATCTCGATCAGTTCTTGAAGGGCCCTCCTAAACTAACCTTCCATTATATTCAAACTAAGTATTCGAACAATAACAAGTTTATATGGCTTATCTCATACGAAATCATCAAGAAAATACCTAATAAAAGCCGATAAAAAACTTCTGAGAAAAAAAAATGGAATTTGCGAGGGAGGGAATGATACTGGAAGGACCAGAAGAAAGTCTAGGTCTGGAGTTCATTTTGAGGATCGGAATACTTCTACTGGAGCGCTTGAGAAAAGATTTCGAGTGTGATAACCTTCGCATTCTTGCAAAAACGACGAAGAAGAAAGGCCGATGTAGCGCCCTGGAAGATCGATCCAAAAGCTAGGACAACAAGTGGAATTTAATAGGATTCAGTAAATTTTGTAAATTTGAATTTATTAAATTCGAAATGTGTTAAATTTTGAAAATTATTTGGTATGTCAAATGTTAAATCTTATTAAATTCTGAGAAACTGTTTGGTACATATTTCAAAATTTATGATAGTTAGGAATTTAAATGTCAAGAAAATAATTATAAATTTAAAAATAAATGTATAATTAAAAATAAAAATTAATGTGTTATAAATTTAATAACATATTATGTACAAAGTACTTATTAATTATTAATTACACTATTAATTATATACTTAATTATATATATATATAATTAAGCTAATTATATTAATATTACTTAAGCTAATTATATTAATATTAATTACTAATTATACAATTAAGTTACATTAGATAATTAATTTATGCACTAACTATACAATTAGTTATTTAATTAATTTACTTAATTATCACATCGCTTCTTCGGCTCCTTCCGGGCTATTCGACTTCGCTCCTTCTACAGCTTTCCATCCTGTCAGATTGGAAGTTACAACATTTTGATCGGAAGCAAGAACATGAGCTCGCTAGCTGTGAAGGTAACTTTCTTCCTTTCGCGTGCTTCTTCGGCTAAATCCCGTTAAATCCATCAAACCAAGAGATTTAGTAAATTTGGGATTTAAGGCATAAATCCCTAAATTTGGAATTTATGAAATCCCGAGATTTAACGTGCGCACAAAAACCGTTTGGCTGGATTTAGCGTAAATCCGACTTAAATCCCAACATAAATCCGATACCAAACAGCCCCTAAGGGCATCTCCAACCGAAAAACTCAGTAATCAATAAGTTGTTTATGACCAAACTTTATTTTTTAAAATAAAAAAAAAATCCTAATATACTCATCCTCATACTTCATTTTATATATTTTTAATCAAAAAAAATATTTAGATTTCTTAAAAAATAAGATGCTTCTAATTTATTATTTCTAACAAAAAATCTTTAAACTTGAATATTTAAAATTAATAATTAATTTTTGAATTAAAAAAATGATGGATGAATAGTGCGACGTCAACCCGTAGTCAAATAGCGGCAAAAAATATGCATAAATAAAATACATCAAAATAAAATGACCATACTAAAATCAGAAATACATCGGGCAGATCGTGGCCGTAGATCTACGGCCACGTCGGCGGTAAACTTTCCAACTGATGTCCCCATCACCTAGACGTGATATGATCATTGTCCTCAACCTCATCACACCCAACAGGACATTTTATATTAACATTAAAACCACGTCCATTCAACCAATAATTAGTTGGGATAATGTCTTTATAAATTCTCCACCAAAACAGCTTCTCCCTCGGCCTCAATCCAAGCTTCAGTACTGTGCATACAGGATCATCATCCTCATGAAAATCTTGCTGTATATAACAATAGAAATCGTTGAACACAAAGGGCTTTTTATTAGCTCAATAGAATCGGATCCCATTACAATTTCAATATGAATTTCACAAATTCTATCAACAAGCAACTCACCAAAGCAAAGCATAAGTTTCGGTTTGTCCCATCTGCTACCCTTAGTAATAAAATCTGAAACCCTCAGATTTTCAATTGCAAAAACATCACAGTAAGTAGGCCATACCGAAATTGCCTTGTCCCATATCCAGATGTCATTTAAAACATCAATGCTCCGACCATTACAAACTCTCCACCGAACCGATCTATTCAAGCTTTCAGCACCCTCACAGATTATCTTCCAGCAGTTTGAATTGCCCCTCTTCAATTCATACTCCCATGGGTTATCACCATATTTGTGTATCAAACACCTATGAAATAGCTCCAATGGCTTATTAATGAACTCCCAAGTAATTCGAGCACGCAAAGGCCCTACCCAATCGGCACTAGCATGAAAGCCGAGGCTCCCCTTACGTCTTGGTCGAGTCACACACTCCAAGGAAGCATAATGTAGGCTTTTATGTGTAGAGTCTTTATCCCATAAAAAGCTGCAACACAGTTTTTCAATTTCATTAAGAACATATCTTGGAACAACTGTATTAGTCATCATAAAAACTGGACTCGACAACAAAACAAAATTAATTAATTAATATAACGCATCCAGCCATGGAGAGGTGCCTAATCCCCCAATTCAATGTGTAACCACTAGCTTTTTGAATTAATGGACCAAAATCCTTCCTTGTGAGCCTCCTCAATGCCAACTCAATGCCCAAGTAATCCATTTCAGCCACACCTTACAACATCCAATCCGTTTAGCTAACCAGGACCTTGTAGTGGACGAAGTCATCTTTCTGAAAAGAACGGCATATTTGCTTTTATTTATCCTTTGGCCCGTTCAAGAACAATAATCTTCAAGAATGGATTTAATCTTCTTTGCATTTGGAATAGACACACCTGCAAAAAATAAAATGTCGTCAACATAAAGATGGTGGGAGACAGAAGGTCCACCACCACTGATTGGAACACCCAACTGCTTGAAGTTCTGATGAAAGTGAGTAGACATCAGCTCAGAATACAGGATGAACAAGTAGAGTGACAAAGGGCACCCTTGATGGAATCCACATCCTGCTGTAATCGCCTCTGTAAGCTGTCCATTTATAAGTATATAGAACTTTGGATTTTTGACACAGCTAAGTACCTAAGAACTGAATCTAGGAGGAAATCCCATACGTCTCAAAACAATCTCCAGAGTCCTCCAACTCATCTTGTCGTATGCTTGTTCCATTTCTACCTTCAAAGCCAAATAACCCTTAACAGATTTGGACACTTTGAATTTATGTATCAGCTTCTGAGCAAGCAAACAGTGATTAGAAATAGATCGCCCTGGAACAAACGCTGCTTGCTCTCCAGAAATCAAATTTGGCAACACTCCTTTATTCATGTTAACAAGCACCTTCGCAACAATCTTATAAATTGTTTGACTCAAACTAATAGGTCTAAACTAGGAAGGATGATCCGGAATAATGACTTTGGGAAACAAAACAACAACCGTTTCCTTCCAATATGAATCCATAATCCTATAAGCAAAAAACTCCAAGCAAGCACTCAAAACCTGCTCTCGAACAATATCCCAATAAAATTTGAAAAGCGAAGCTGTGACTCCATCCCTACCAGGAGCATCATTTGGGCCCAAAGAGCTCACAACAGCCCAAATTTCATCCTTTGTGACTTCCCCATCAAGAGCTCCAGCAAACTGTGCCAAATAGTTTTTCTGGGAATCAACGGAAGGCCATCCATCATCAACAATTCCCTGCCCATGCCATTTCTGTTCAAAAAATCTGTAGATAACATTAGAAATATCTCCTTGTTTGGTTACCACTGTCCCATCCTCCTGCTTAATAGAATCATGGAATGAAAAAAGTGGGTGTTACCGCCGGCCACCCTCTCCTCCTAGACGAAGCCATGGAATGAAAAAAGTGGGTGTTACCTTCCCCTTCCTCAATCCATTTTACTTTAGCTCATTGCCTCCACCATGTCATAATTCGAGCAAGGGTACTATTTAAAAGCTGAACCTTATACCTCAAAGTTTCAGCTTGAATATCATCCAGACCATTTGGCAAACATTCCAGCTCCTGCAGAGCCTTAATCTCTTTATCCAACTCATCCTTCAAGCATTCTGATTTTGTTCTTACTCCAAAAGAACAAGGCTTTCAATGTTCTTTGGCATTTCTTCTGGAGCTTAGCTGCATCACTCCCAAAGTCCTCCACCTTCCACTTCTCCCACACCAAATGCCAAGCCTTTGGAAAGCTTGCCCAAACATCTTCAAACTTTACCCAATGGGAATAAGCCTCTTCGTCTCACCTTGAACATAGCAAAGTATAGGGCAATGGTCTCAAGCGATCCTAGTAAGATGTTTGAATTTCAATCCTTGAAAAGAGTCCATAATCGAAGAACTAATAAGAAATTTGTCCAACCTTGAAAAGATCCTACTCCTCACATCCTTGTTATTTGTCCAGGTAAAAACAGGACCACATAACCTAGGATAAATCAAGTCGTTTGCCAACATAAATTCCCCCATGTCACCAGCACTAGGAGAAAAGTGAAATGCCTTACCCCCTTTCTTTTCTTCCTGAGAAAAGAAAGGGGAATCCAATGTATGATATCGAAAATATCCTCCCAAACTTGTCTTCTGGTATACCTTTCCTTAGCACCATAAACAACTGCAACCTCCCAATCAATATCATTAGCCATAGAAAACCTCCCCATAATACATTGGCTAGTTTGACATAAGACATTAAAAGATACCTCATTATTCTTCCACAAAACCAATATACCACCTGCTCTGCTAACAGCTGGCTGGAAGACATATTTCCAATCTCTGCCTGCAAGTCTGTCAACATCTTTTCTATAAATAGATTCCATCTTAGTCTCAATCAAACCAATGAAACCAACATTGTGCTCCCCAATGAGGTGTCGTAAATAATTGCCCGTCTCCTTTTTACGAGCACCTCTGCAATTCCAACATAAGAAACTAAGCATGATTCACCAAAGGGGAAGCATCCCCGCCGCTCATATTATTAAAAGAATAACCCTGCACCTGATAAGAAGCCACTCCACAAAAATCAACATCACTTTCCTTCATCCCTCTAGATTTTTCAATAACATTCACCAATTTTTCTAAAGAAGAAGATGCCAAATCAGTTTCCATACCTTTGCTCCTCCTCACCCCAGGTAAATTCTGTAACGGCCCAATATGTGCTAGCTCCTTAGAGAACCGAGATTTTACACTTCTATTTTTCTTGTTCTTCGGCTTCCACACTCTAGATTTGTTATCAGATAATTTCAAAACATTAGGAATTAAAAGCTATGATGGAGAGATCCTGGAATAAGGATCTTGAATCCCACGGTCTCCAACCATAGGTTCTCTATTTTGCATATTGCCAACAGCCTTCATTACCTCATTTTGCAAAGGTTATTGAGATAAACCAACTGAGTTCTCTATTTGAGACTTTGTCACATCATCTGGAAGCATATTACCTTCATTCTGCACGTCCTTACTCATCAT